ATATAAATTATTATACAATTATATATAATAGCATAATATGCTATTTGTTAACATTTATTTATATTATGATAATTTATATTTATATGGCCATTTTTTAAATCTTAGCTTATATACTTCATGAAAGAAAAAAAAAAAATCACAATACATACCTGTTATCTTTTTCTAGCCCAGTCCGTCTACCTCAAGTCTCAGCTCAAATCACTCTGGCTCACACAATGTGAACAGCTCTGCGCCCTCCAGCAATAGAGGTGAGTGAATTCAATAAACTATAAGCAATCTGGCACTTGAAAGCAAGCAGTGCTTACAACGCCCTGCAACATAATTGGCATCATTTTGGAGCATTGCTTCGTTTCCTCGTTATTTCGTATCTTTTCAACTCTCGCACTATGTGCCTTTAATGCCCTGTTAATCATGCTTCTTTTTTTTTTTCTTTTTTTTTTTTTTTTTTACAAAAATGAATTATTAATGAACACATAAATATCATTATGTTTTTGAGGAGTCACACCATTACATGTATTTAAGTATTTCATTTTGAATATATTTTGGAATAAATTAGCAGACATTAGCTTCTCCACTGCCGTCTGACAAGCACAAACACTCCAGAGAGAACGCCTGCCTCTCTCCACGGGACAGACTCTGCAGTGGCATTTTCTCCAGCACGCTGGACCCCACACAGGTCAGAGCGCTTCCACCAGCACTGTTTAACAGTTAGATGTCAAACTGAACATTCCGTGGGAAATAATGTAGGGTGGGGCTTAATTTTTATCCACCAAGGATTGATTATGATATTTCAAATTCTCATAAACTTACATTGAAAGAGGGACCCAAGCCACATCTAGAGACCATAATATATTTTTTTAAAAGTTGGGCTCATTGATTTGAGTCTGTAAGTAACCACCCAGAACACCTTAACCACCTAGCAACAACTAATACTGTATATTGCGTAGAAACATTATATATATATATATATATTAGGGATGGAATGGTTCGCGGAAAAAAATCGAACCGTACGGTCGTGTGCAGAAAGAAGATTTGTGCGTGCGCTCATCCGAAGCGCGCAAACCCGCGCCTCAGTACACGCGCAAATATTAAGCTCTCTCTGAAGTATTGTGTTTAAATGGACAAATTCGCAAAAAAAAAAAGAAAATCACTGTTTATTTTATTTTTTATCTTTACTCTATTGTATTTATTTGTTTTATTGTTTGTTTTCTGTTTTATGTCATACAGACTTTGTTTGAACAACATGAGTGAGAAATAAATAATAACAATATACTGTATGTATATATATATATATATATTTATTTTTTTTATTTATTTATTATTATTTAAAAAAAAAAAAATTTTATACGTTGTATATGTACACCACCATTCAAAAGTTTGAAGTCAATACATCAAAAATACAGAAAAACTTCATTTGTCATTTATTCCTGTAATGCAAAGCTGAATTTTCAGTATCATTACTCCAGTCTTCAGTGTCACATGATCCTTCAGAAATCATTCTAATATGCTGATTTATTATAATTATCAGCATGGAAAACAGATGCTACTAAATATTTTTGTGGAAACTGTGATACTTTTTTTTTTCCAGGATTCTTTGATGAATAGAAAATTCAAAAGAATACAATTTATTTGAAATAGAAATCTTTGTCACTTCTGATCAATTTAACATCATTAACGTCACCATATTAACATAATTACTGTATAATAGTAATTTCTTTATAAAAAAAAATTGTGCTAACCCCAAACATTTGGTATATGGTGGTATATATAATTTTTTATAAATATTATTAAATATAATGTATTAAAAGTATTGTTTTTCCTGCTCACATTACAGCAGCAGAAATAAATATTGAAAATATTAATAATTACTACATGTATTATATAATGTAAAAAATAATATAAATGTTCATTGTCATATATTATTTATGTATAATTTACTGTATGTAAATAGTATACATAATAATTTAAACTATAAATATTAAGTATTCGCCATAAATTAAATAAACAATTCTTGCACTGATGAATCTGTAACAATGATTAATAAAATAAATGTGTATCTCACAGTGTTCAGTAAACGTCCACAGTACAGATTCACTGAGACTTCCGTCTTTTATATCTTTTATAGAGAATGATTCCGTTCCAAATCCCAGTGGATTCCGCATTACCACGCTGTGAACCCAATCTCCCCACACCTGAGACAGGTACTGCAGCTTTCTGCTGTCAGATAACAGCCGTTACACTTGAATCAGTTATGTACAGCTCAGTGACACGTCCTTTTGTTGCTCTGTGTATGTGTTGAGTAGGATCTCTGTGCAAGAACGTGAGGTCACTGTCTCCCATGCCAACCGCCCGTTCCCCTCAGAAGGTGACTAGTTTATGCTTTATTCACTCTCTGTTAATAGTTGGTGTTTCTTAATGAAGTTTGTCCTTTGTTTTGCTCTGCAGTCAATGGTCCCGCCCCTCACGCCCTCTCCGACCGATGGCTTGCCGATGGGGAGCCTGGCGTCTCACTCTCCTGCCCGCTCTGGCAGCTACAGCAGCGGGATCTCATCCCTCAGCCGCTGCAGCGTCTCTGAAATGTGCGGGATCGACCTCCCGCCGCCCGACCCTCCTCTACCCCCCGCCGTCCCCGCAGACATTCCCATTCGCCGGGGCAGCAAGACTCCTCCGCCCTACAGCGTCTACGAACGTAACAATCCCCGGCGAGCGACGCCACTGCCTCACAGTCTGTCAGTGCCGCCCAGTACCGACAACCCCAGCCTGACCGGCAAACTT